GACTCCATTATCATCAATTCCATCAGCATCTACTCCACAACCATCAAAACCGAAATCATCGACTCCATTATCATCAACCCTATTTTCACTGCCGTCAACTCCACTACCATCAAAACCAAAATCATCAACTCCACTACAATCAACTCCATTACCATCAACTCCAACACCATCAAAACCGAAATCATCAACTCCACTACCATCAACTCCACTACCATCAACTCCAACACCGTCAACTCCACAACCGTCAACTCCAAAACAATCAACTCCAACACCATCAACTCCAACACCATCAAAACCGAAATCATCGACTCCCACTCCACAACCATCAACTCCAACACCATCAAAACCGAAATCATCAACTCCACTACCATCAACTCCATTACCATCAACTCCATTACCATCAACTCCAAAACAATCAACTCCAACACCGTCAACTCCACAACCGTCAACTCCACAACAATCAACTCCACAACAATCAACTCCAACACCATCAACTCCAACACCGTCAACTCCACAACCGTCAACTCCACAACCTTCAACTCCACAACCTTCAACTCCACAACCGTCAACTCCAACACCTTCAACTCCAAAACAATCAACTCCAACACCATCAACTGCAAGACAATCTGTTGCAACAACAACAGCAAAAACAACTGCAAAAACAACTGCAACAACAACTGTAAAATCATCAGCTGCTGCAACAACATCATCTGTCTGTAAATATAACAATTATGATACTTGTCCTTGTACTGTTGCTACAGCCGAATTTACATCCATTCTCATTGGTGAAGTGGTCTTTGCTCAAGACACCTGTGGCTCAACACTTGTGACTGGTCTCTTCAGTGACGGCCTTGTCGACCCTGAAAATATTCAATATACTTACCTTATTGTCGATGCTTGTGACAAAGTTCTCTATGATTTGACATCAGCTTTAAATGTCAAATATCGAAAAAATGGAACATATCCATTCTCAACAAGACTTGATGACCTAACCCTCAATTGTAACTCCAAAGGGGTGCTTCTTGCTAATTATGATTGTAATGACAATACTTATCATAAACGAAGTGGAGCGCCGTATTTAAAAGTTAACCCAGTTACAAAGGCCTCACTCAAATAATTAATTAATTTAATATAAATAACAAGTTGTATATAGATGAAAACAAATGATGGTTTCAATTTTTCATTAAAAAATGATAATATTCAAAATCCAATTCTCATTCGAGTTATACGTAGAGAATTATATTCTATTATTATTGTAATTCTAATTAATTATAGGAATATTTATTGTCCAGAATTTGGTGGTAAGATGAAATCAAGAGTGATTAAATATATTTAAATAAATTTACAATTAAAATGAAATGAGATAAAAAAAAAAAAAAAAATTTATTTAACTTGCTTTCTTTTAATGAACAGTTAAAGAATCACAGATTGTAAATTTATTTGATAATTTGTACGGATAATATTTTTCTATTTTGTTATTTTAAATTAAAGACATCGAAATTGTAAATTCATTGATAGTTATAAAATATTGCATTTAGTAAGTTAATAATTAATTAATTATTTTATTTCAGAAGTGAAACAACTGAAAATCATATATTCCAATATCTACAAAGAAATCCAAGTGTTTGTTATGATTGTGAATAAATTTTTAACATTAGGAACCATTTTTAAAAGATTATTTATTCTAGTGACTCGTCTCTTTACATATATAAAATGTATTTTCGGATCTAAATATTTAATAAAATGTAAAATATAATGTTTTTAAATGCAAATGCAGGAACTTTTTTGATTAATATAAATATTTAACTGATATCTGATAATCATTGATCCATACCTTTTATTCTTTGTTTCTTGTTCTGATTATTTTTCATATCGTTGCCCACACTATAAAAAAAAAAAAGGATAATTATTATAAAACTTTGATCTTACTCAAGAATTCTTTACTTAGAACTAACAATAAAATTGGTGTAGAGATCTTCGCACGTCATTTGGTGGTTTATTATTTAATAATTATAAATCTTATTCTTTTTTTTGATTGACTCGAAAATCTTTCTCTATGGTTTTTAAGGAAAGAATTGCTTTGCTTCAACTGTATTTTCTATCATTTCTTTCAGTCCATTCAAAATAGTATATAAATTGCTGGGGATCTTGTCGTTCTGTCTTGTCATAAAAATTGAGTCAATGTTAAGTTAAGCTAACCTTACATCTTTTTAGCATATTTTGATTAAATCATTTATTCGGAGATATCTAATAATTATTTTAATTTTTTTAGAATATGGTCTAGTCCTTTAAAAAAAAATCAAATTTTGTTTACATATAAAGGCTTTTGAATTTTAACAATATATTTATAATTTTTTTATATAATATAAGATATATTTTAATCTCAAAGCTTTATTGTTAATTTTATGTTTTTACATAAAAATTTAATAAATTTTTAAAAAATGAGCGGCCATCACGATATGCATGCAAAATCAATCCAACAATTATGGGACAGAGGGATCCAAACCGCCAAAGAAATTCATAAACGAACTGGTATTCCTAGGTCTACGATATATTACAATATTTCTAAGCTAAAAAAAACCGGAAGTATCAGTCTCTTCTCAAAACTCCAAATTTTTGGCTCAATTTCAACAAAAGCACTTGCCACCAAACTTTTAAAAAAAAGAAGTCCAGATTTCGCACGTAACAGTTTGGAACCATTTAACCGAACTTGGGTATAAAAAAAACCGGGCTGAGGTTTCGCCAATGCTCACAAATGAACACATGCAAAAACGGGTAGCATGGGCAAAAAATATTAAAATTACAATTGGAATCGAACAATTTTTTCTGACGAAACATCATTTCAATTGTTTCGTAATACGGTGCAATACGTATTGGTACAAAGAGAAACGTCCGGTACGACGAATCCCAAAAGAGAAAAAAAAAATTTTTTTTCCTGAGGGGTTTTTGGTCAAGAGTCTTTTTTGTTTCCAATGAATTATGAATGGTCCATTTTACGTGGAAATCTTGGAAAACCACTTTCCCGAGATTCGAAAAGTGCTTGGGAGTCGTTGGCAGTTCCAACAAGATAACGACCCAAAGCATACAAGTCGGGTTGCAAAAGAATTTTTAGAAAAAAATGCTCCAATAGTAATCGATTGACCGTCTAATAGAAAATTTATAGAAAATTTATGGAGTATAGTTAGTTAAGGGAAAGGTTGAAAAATCCCGGAAAGTATTTTAACGAATTTGGTGGGGTCTATGAAAGAACGATGTAAACTTATAATTGAAAAAAATGGGGATCGTATCCCATATTAAATGTAATAAATTTAAAATAAATCTTTATTCTTTCAGCTTTCTAACAAGCCATAATACATTCTTAATGCACTGTACATATCAAAATTTTAGTAAATTTTATATGAAAAAATTACTGTTAGTAAAATTTTTTATTTCGTAAATAAATAATTAAAAGGATTATATTTTAACTTTTTTCAATCAAATAAAAAATATAATTTTTAATTTTTAAAAAAATTTTATAAGAATTGAATTAAGTACAAATCTTTTTACACCGGACCATATTTCTTAATAATTAAATATACTATTTTTGAAAATCATAATTATCAATGTAAATAATGCAAGGAAAGACAAGATTTTAACATTACAATTTTTCTTTCCTAAAAATACAAATAATAAATTCGCCAATCAAAATATTAACATATTTTATTTCTCCCCCACCCCACAAATGTGCATAATGTACCTCAATATTAGTAAAGTAAATAATAATAGATTTTATCAAGGTATTACTTCTTGAAAAGCTACCTTTTGGACGTCAATTGAATGTGTCTGAAGTGAAATTTCTTTCAAGTCTGAAGCGACTCATCTTTATTCTTTCGATAAATATTTATTGCTTGATATAATCTGCCAATAATATTTATTAACAAGTTAAGGCATGAAGAGATGAGTGTAAGAAAAGGAATTATATCATATGTAACCACACTTTGTTGGTAATATATCTAAAAGTATTGAAAATTTTTATAATTAGAAAACAAAACAAAATAATAATATATTTTTTTTTTTTTTTCATATAAATAAAAAAAAAGTATTATGAAGACTGACCTGAATGATCACTTGTGGCATATCTTCAAGAAAAATATTTAAACAAGAACCCCAAAAGATTTTATTTTTTCCTTCAGTTGAAAATGGAGCATTGAAAATTTCAAACCCGGCCATATTTGAATGGAGAATACTTAATGCTTCGATGTCAGCACCTGATAACATTGTAAATATTGATACCACTTTTCCATTTTCAGTGAACCAATTCAAGAAAGTTTTAGGTTCGTTTTTGTTTTCAAAGAAAGTTTCAATTTGGTTTTTAATGAAAGTTTTTTTTTGGTTTTCTTCATTGATAATATAAAATGCCAAAATAGTGTTGACAACGATTGGAACAGTCAAGAATATGACACTATTTATATATTTATATATTTATATATTTATATAAGTTTTTAATAAAAGTAAATATAATAATAATATACAAATATATATTAATTGATAAATATATAAATATACAAATATATATTAATTGATAAATTTACCTTGGAATATATAATACTTCAACAACTTTACCATTCTTAATGACGAAAAGGACATCCATTACAAAATCAAAAATAATTAATCCAATCTGGAAAACTGCCATGTTACGACCCTTTTTAAAAGAATTTAAATAATTTCAATACATAGAAATTTTAATTTTCTATAATATTAAATATACTAAACAATTAGGATATCTTTTTTTTTTTTTTTTTACCTTTTTTTCTTTATCTTTTCTTTTTGCTAATAAGAAAAGAGTCACTAAAATTCCAAGTGCTAATATTACACCCAACAATTTTATTTTATATCTTACCCATAAGTTTTCTAATAAAAAAGAAAGAGTGATTAGTAGTAATGATAACATGTTAAATAAGTTTAAAATTCAATATATACTCACGTCTTGTTTCAAATCCAAACGTTTCATCTAAATAATTTGTGGTAGGGAATAAACTAATGGAAGTTATACTTTTATATTTAATCATCCAATTTAAATCATCTAGAATAGATTGTACACTTCTTTCTTCTTTGGATGATTGAGATTGAATAACAAGTGAAATAAATAATTGACGATTAGGACTAATACTAATATCAACTTGGGTTTTCTTATTCAAACTCAGTCGCTCAAGATTAACGGGAATAATTTTAGATAATTCAATTCGTAGATCAGAAAAGAATTGATCTTTTTCAGTTGAATTAAGATTTTCGTAGTGTTTAGTGCCATCTGTAGTTAAACGCAACACTCCAGATACTGTATCTATTGTAGAAATTTTCAATATATTTTGAGTGATTTTATATTAAACACATAAATAACAATTGCACTGAAATTTACCTGCAAAAGTTTCTTCTCTTGAACCTAAAAATCGTCAGGATATAAAAGGAAATATATTTAGTATTTAAGTTAATAATATATAATAAAATAATATCATTTACATACTTGTATTGAATTTCCAAATATTATCATATATGCCCATTAAAGGTTCACCGTATTCTTTGCTTTTTACAAAATTATTATCAACTTCAACATAAAATTGGCTATTAGGATAACTAAAGGTACTTATGATAACTTTTATAGTTACAGTTAATCCATTATTAGAGATACGACAAAATTCATTATCGTTGGAATTAACAAATTGTCGAGTAACGTTTTGAGTAATGTTGTTAACTTTGTCTTTACTATCATCAATTCGATAGATCCAAATATTTCCATCAGAAAGTTCTACTGGTTTATAATATGTGATTGTAATATTACCCATATCCGTTAAATTTGAAATATTAGAAATACTAGAATTTATTGAGGGACTTGTAGATTCTATTAGAAGATTTGAATAACCATTATCCGAATTTCCTGAGTAGTTAGGCATATCAGTGGTAAGAAAACTCCAAGTATTTAAAGTTTCTAATTGTGATATCAACAAAGTATTATTAGGCAGAATTATCAAAGTTCCCACGTTATTTAACATTGATGGTTCTGGAAAATCCCATTCCTCATAATCAATTTCGTTAAAATAGTATCCATAAGCATTGGTATGACCGTCTTCATCCTGAAAAGTACCATATACTAAATAACCACCAAAAGGAATACTTTCCATTGTCCATCCTAAAGTAATATTTGAGGGTAATTCGGGTAAGTTGTTTAATGGGGTGATTTTTGTTACAGAGCCAGATATTAAGAAATCAAGTTTCACATAATAATTTGTATAATTTGTGGAATTTGTGGAATTAATGAAATTGCTCTGTATGATGTTGAGTGTACAAACTTGTCCAACTCCAGAACTTGAAATACTACATAGCAGGTTAGATAATGTAATATTAGGTAAGGATGATTGATAAAGCAGTTTTGACGCACTAAATTGTGTTTCATTATATCCTATTTTTAAATAATACACCGCGGCATAAATTTCAAAAGGATTATTGGAATTAGTGGAGTCGGTGGAATTTCCCATAATTATACTATAACCCTCATCAACAGTAGCCATGGGATAAAGCTGTGCAGAAGTTCCATCTTTTTGGGGAAGATCAACATATCCTTCTTGTATCTTTTTAAGATCGAATGAATCACCTCTAAAGAATAAATTAAATTGATAAATTGTAAAATCTTATAATATCAAACATATGTCATTAATATAAAAAACTCACATCATAAATTGTTGCCACTCGTAATAAGTCATATTTCTCCCAGCTATCCTTATAAACCCTTTTTTTGGATCAACGTTAGGCACTATTTTCGCTACTGATGGGTACCATATATCATCTTGAAGGTAAACTCCCCCTAAATATATTTCACTTATAGTTTAGAATATATTTTAAATAAAATTAATAATAATTATTATTGTTATTAAATATGATATGATATAATGATTATGATAAAATTATTAAAAAAATATTTACTCATATAAATTGCCATTCCAATCAATAATACGTCCCCATTCTTCATAAGTTGTAGAATTGTTCGTATCTGAAGCATTAAAGTATCTAACAAGCAAATAGCCCTTTTGAAGCGCATATATATTTATAGGGTCTTGGTTAGAACCATCAGGAGCTATAAAAATGTACCAGTTAAATTCTTGAATTCCTAGGTCTTTGTCTATTTCACTGACAGTTCCATTGGGATGAATAATGCGTAAAGATAACATCGGTCTTGTCCACAGTCCAGTATCAGATGTATTAGCATCAGGATCCTTATTAAAAATTCGAATAACCACTGTTCCATCGATATATTTCCCGTATTGCCACATCCAAGGTTTATTTTCAAATGGTTTCGTTTCATTATGTGTAAAAGTTCCAAGACCTGATATCGAAGACGTCAGAGAAAAAATTGTTATCCACGCAACTATCAAATTTAAACTTGATCGTATCATTATGATGAAATAATAGATATAGAAACTTTAATTTATTTTTTTTTCTTTTAAAAAAAAAAGATAAATTTTGTGGATTCAAGCCTCGAAAATTTTAGTGTCAAGCTTTTTTATTTTTGATGGACTATGGGTACTTTATATGAGAAAAAAATTTGTTACACTAAGTTGTTTCTAAGTTATATCTTTTTGTCTTAATATTGTATATGCGTACATTATCGATGCAAAAAAAAATATATATATATATATACACTTTCAAAAATAAAAACCCGATATTTTTATTTTTTTCTGTTTAGAGATTGGCATGGCAATTTAATCGAGATAAACAAGTTAACCAGAGTTAAAATATTTTTATACAATTAATAATAAATTTAAACAATTAATTAATTTAAATCTAATTAACCAAATTCTATATACGTACATTTAACAAAAAACCAAAATTGAATTAAAAAACAGAACTTGAATTATTAAACTGGAATTCAAGATTAATTAATAAATTAACTGGTTAATTAACTGGTGTTAATTAAATAAAATAGTCAATTAACTGGTTACCGGTTAAAAATTATTTTGGAAGGTGGCAATCTTTTGATCGATCTAAAAAAATAATCTTCCTCGAAATAAGCCACAATTATATTGGTAATACTGTGGTTCCAAATAATATAATCTAAAATAGATATATGTATACTCTACATGTTATTTTCTATTTCTGTTATTTTATACAATAATAATAAAAATTTAAACATATCATCTCCAGGGTCGAGAATATTGCCTTTCACATCATTAGAGTTTGTAAAATATAAATTAATATTTAAATGTCATCCGATAAAACGCCAACATTATTTCCTAGAATAATAATTAATCTAATAAAAAAGTTTATTTTTTTTTATAATTTTTATTTTATTTTATTTTTTTAATATTAGAAGTCAATGCAATTATCTTATCTTTCACAGTTCATTTGTCCCAAAATAAGATGGCTTTGAAATCATTCTCTGAAATACATGTTAATCATCCTTAAATAACAGATTTAAATTATATTTATTATTATTATTATTATTTAATAATTTAATTGTGAATAGTAAAACAGATGTAAATATTTGTCGATTTATTTAATTAATAATAGAATCTCCTTATAAAGTATTTTCATTTTCTTTCCCTAACGTCATTGCGATCTATTTTTATAAATTACACGATGAATCTACAATAAAATCTTGTTGAATTGATTTTCGTACCCCGTAAAAAAATTTTTTGTAAATATCAATTTTCAAGTTAAATTTACATCATTTAGAAATATTATATTCATTCAATGATATTTATGTCACCTTATCAATATATTAACTTTATTAAATTTAGAAATTGAAGAAAGGAGAAGTTTTAATAATTATATATCAACATCAATGCCAATTGATTACGTATAAAATATTTGGTTAAAAGTTTATTTGGTACTTAATAAAAATAAATAAAATAAATAATTTCAGATATTATCATATATTATCATCAGATTATTTGACATATTTTACTTATAATTGAAATTATTGTGCCATTACTATTGAAAAATTAATAAATAAGTTATATAATAATAAAAATGAATAAATTTTCTACTCAAGAATTCTTTTTATCCTTCACTTTGTAAAACTAAAATCAGTAAAATTTCAGAAGGAGAAGTAGGATTTTTTGCTTGATTTGAAAGTAGCAACATATTCAAGTTTTTATTGTGAATTCTCTGATGAGAGATAAATTGTTGCACTATCTTGCTAATATTTAACGTTGTGTAATTTTATTAATCTAATTTATGCTATTTTTTTTTAGTGACAATTATATAATCATTTTTAACCTATTATCACTATTTATCCCATACTTTATATTATTTTTGGAAGAAAGTAAAATATATGGAAAAAAAAGACTAATATTAAATTATAGATTCTTCAACATTACGGCAATAACAACATCAGTAATAATAATAATAATATAATTATGTATTATTATCAAATTTATAGTATATTCAAGATTCACTTAATACTTTAGCAGAATTACAAAAATTAAATTATAATAACTCTATTTAAAGAGTTATTTATAAATTTACTTTAGTTCGCTTATATTTCCGTGTTACGACCAATTTATGTATATAATCACCTGTAGAGAATTTCATGTGAATAAAAGATTTGTTATACCCGAAAGATTCAAAAATATTTAAAGTTGTTGGTTTTTCGTCTCCTCATCCTTCTTTAAAGGGATGGAATATGTACACACTCGATAAAATACCGTAATTTTCAGGCCCTGTGTAAAGTACCCCTTTTGAAAATTTTGGACGTTTTTTTAAATACCAGAATATCTTATTATTTTCATTATTACCTTCATATTTAAATTATTATTTTTAATCATCCCCAATACGTATACCAATCATTTATTTTTATCAGAATAGTTAAATATACCTGAATACTATACATGGCATATATCGATATAAAATATCCCGGGTTACGTATAAGGCAAAAATTCTGAAATTTGTTATCAACCCACTCGTAATATTATGGCACACAGAATACAATAGTCATTTTTTAATTATTAAGTATTGCTTCTTTTTCAAAAAAAGATGATACATTATTTTAATATGATAAACCTTGATATAACAAATCTTATTATCTGTAATACAGTTTTATCGGTCGATAACAACGGTTATTGCTGATTTAAAATTAAACTTTTGTTATATGTTATTGGTCAAATTTTTAGTTGTTATCATCAAATTTTTTAAACAATGGTTATATTATTGGATATAAAAATATTTATTTAATGTTAAAATCTGTAAACTTTAAGTGAATCCATGGAGATTGCTTCTTTTGAAACACTTAAACATGTAAAAGACAAGATCAATAACTTTTGGCTTGTTCCAAACCATTGTGAAGATGTGACCAAACGCTACAACATTCGAACTAGCCCA